AAAAAAATGAGAACCTGGAAGGACTAGAGAAGTTTTGGGTTTGTAATACCAAAATATTTTCTTAAACTGTTATTTCTCCTTTACAGAAGGCCAAACAGCACAATCTGATGTGTTTGACAGTAAAACATTATGCAGTTCGAAGACACCTGTTATAAAAATGTTTTTCAATGAACTGGAGGAAAAAAATGAAAAAGGACATATTAAGGCAGGTATTTTTCATGCCTTCATCAGAAATACGGCAATTAACTTGCTTTTTCTGCAGTTAAAGGTTTGAACACAGGCAATCATCGAAGTGGGTACCATAAAATCCAGAAGTTGCCCTGAATTAACTTGTGCAAATGCTTGTGTGTTTTACAGCTTCATTTGCCTAACGGTAGTTGATTTTGGGGTAGGAGACAGTAATAATCCAGACCAACGTAACGTATTTAAACATTGGAAATGGCCAAGCGCAAGGACAGGATCAGAGACTGTATGAAACTAATTAGGCTTATTTTAAATTAGTACAACTTTTCAGTGTAGACACATGGCTTGGATTTGTCTTGTCACCTGAAAAAAAACTAAAGAAGGAGGCATGAATGATAACAAGAAAAAGGACCCTTCTTACTACATTTTTATTTTATAATCATAACTACAGAAATAAGAAAGAGCAAAAAGCCTAAGTCTTCACAGTAGTACCTGGTAAAAGACTGTGGATGCCTAAGACTACAGCACTATTAAACAAAAGAATTAGGAAGAGAATGTTTTGATATAGTTAAATCTGTACGACTGTGTTTAAATGGATATTCTTAAATCTGGCTTATTCTGGTTTAAATTGTACATGTAAATTCTACGTAAAGGGAGGGAACGGTGAGGAAAAAGATACAGCATCGTTTTCAAGTTTGAAGTGAAACTCATTACTGAAATATTTATACTTACTCAAATATTTATACTTACTCAAAAGGAAAGCCATCAAGTCTGAAAAGATAAAGAAAAAAACGTTACACTATGCATAAGAAGTTACAATACTGCCTACATTTTTATTGAACTTCTTAAACTAATAATTTATATTCTATTTGAAATGAAAGCACAATGAAAACAAAGACAATAGCAATGAATGTTTGTATTCTAAGGTGACAAATTTGTTCAAGTTGATCTACTTTCAGAAAGAATAATTCTACTTTTTAAGATGGAATAGCATTATACTTCATTACACTTAATGTGAAGCATTAGATATAATTTAGGACAGTTGTTTTACTATTATTATTATTATTTTAAATCCGCCCAGCAGGACAGAAACATTTTCTCTTAGTACGGAAGTCCCATTTCTGAAAATTATACAGACCTCCTCATATCATGAGGAAAATAAAATAAATCTTTACATGCAAGTTAACTGCTGGCATCACTTTAAGACTGTAAAGGGGCCTGAAACAGCACTGAGCTTTAACACATTGAGAAGCTAGGTGCTTTCTAGAAATGTTATGACAATCCTTTTCATGTTAGCCATGAACATATTACTGTTATTTCAGTTCAATATTAGACATTAGCATTCTTAAAAATAAACATAGTAGTCTTTCACATATTATTCATTGTACTTTCTAATTAATCACCTTTGTGAATAGTTTTTAAAGAACTTCAAATAATGCTAAATGTTTTCTTCATCTCTCAATTTGCCCATTTGAGTCAGTGGCTCAAAGCACTTCTGATGCTCTGATGCTTACAAAGAAATAGCATGCAGGTCTAGAGTAAGACTTAGAAACAGAAACGAGGCATCAATTATCCACTTATAAAGGCAGCTGAGCTGCTGTTCCTAAGGAATGATTTATACACTGTAGTAAATCGCATGGTAGATACGGCATCCCAGTTCTGATCCTAAATGAATTTGTATCGAAACAACTAAGGTTTCTAATGAAAATTGATGTGATCTTTAGCTATAGGATGCTTGTTAGGACACAAAGTCCACTTTAGCCTTAGAAGAACCCAGAAAGAAAGACCTAAAAGAGGTATTTCCCCCAGGTAATTTACTAATGCATCAGGACAGCTTATTTTTTTTATGATATATTAACTTAAAACTTTATTCCCAAGAAAGGGAACTAACTGTTTAGGGACCTGCGCGCAAAGTCTTGGATTCCAGCATGTGACTAGAACTGTAGTGGAGAATGGATAACCTTTGCTGAAGTGACAACAGTAGGCTGGACAGGAATTTCCCTGGAGGAGTTGCAGGAGAAAGAATTGAGGTGAAGCTGGTATGGAGAGCTGAAAGAGCAGCTCACCAATAAGCTTGTTTGTACTTGAGAGGTGAATGGAGAATAACACCAAAACAGTCAGGTTCTTCCTTATTCCTTGACTAACTTCACTGGTCAAGGAAGCATAAAGCTGGACACTCATAACAATTTATAAAAGAAAGAGATTGTTAATGGGCAGCAAAAAGCTGAACAGTAGCATCTCTGAGCAACATTTACAGATACATACATACAGAAGGATGAATCAAGGGAGTCTACCTTAAATTCTATGCAAAAATAGGAATATTTGCAAACCACCATTTCCTTTGCAACACAGCATGAACTGTAGTAAGACGACAGCCATTGTAAACTTATTTTACTTAGGATCTAAGGAAACAGTATTTTCACATATTTAATAAAAGGCACACACAACCTAAAGGGCAGAATTATAACTTACAAGAGCAAGCCGTCTTTTGGAAAAGAGGACTTGAGCAATGCTTCCTAGCCAGAAGAATAAAGATGGAGAAATCCTTTCTAGAGAAGAGGAAGTTGGTAAGATTGAGGCTGTTCACTGAATTTTGTAATAGTCAATTCAACTAGAGGGAGCTATCTTTTTTTTCAGGAAGGTTAAACGCATATTATGGAAGATAGGTATGTAGTAAGCATGTCCATAGTCTCCAAATAGTAACTGAAGTTTTGCACATAGGTTGTCCTAAAGAGAAGCTCTCTGCACTGGGAACCTAAATCTTAATTGCCATGCTTAGCCTGGATTAAAAATTGTACCCTTCCCTACAAAAGGAACTTCCTACAGTCCAATAGCCCATGGCAATAACGTTTGCACAGAGTTGCATTAAAAGGGATTAGTTGCATTAAAATGGACTGCACAGCTGTATTAATGGATGAGACCCATCCATAAATTAACCTGCAGCTAGCCATTGTAAAGTTAGAGAACATATGATGATATTTACAATATGATTTAGAGCAAATAGGTTGGCCTTGTGTGCCTACTGCAGAAGACAAATTACATCTTTGTTTACATTAAATGTGGCAGACATTACTAAAATCTTCACCTTTTGAAAAGAGAGTTGGTGTGATTTCCTTCTATTTCACATATCTGCCCAAGACATAAGGTATGGCTTGAATGGTGCTTCTCAGCATTGTTATTAGCAAGCATCCGTTAAAGAGACGCTTTCTTAAATACCAAAAACACATTCTATCATCGATTCAGAAGAGCTCAAATTTCTGTTTTGTCAGGAATAATGGCCTACAATCATGAACCCCCACATGATTAAATCAGTTGATCAAGCAAAAGACAGAGCTACTGCAGTGAACAAGAGACTACTCAGATTCAAACTTAACTGAAAAACCAAACTAATTTAATCAAAGTTTGGCAGCACATTGATAGGAAGCGACTACAAAGGCAAAAATAGGTGAACAGAAAGAACTATTTAGTTTTGCTTCTGCTTTTTGATTGATTATTAATTTCCCTCCTGCTAGTCAGACTATTTACTTCCTATGTAAATGGTCAATATAACCATCCTTCACATTGTACATTTCATCTATTTTAATTTATCTTTCCTGATCACATAAAAGGCTTCTCTCCTCAGCCTTATCCCCAAAGCCTTGGAACAGATTGTGACACTAGCTGCATAGCCCTCAAAACTGGCTACACTAAAATGAAGGCTTTAAGTTTATTATTAAATAATTAACTTTCTTATTAGTGTACAGTAACTTTTTTATTCGTTAAAACCTTTACAACAGGTTATCATGAAAAGGTTACTAAGAAAATTACTATAAATATTTTTAGTGTCTCCCCCACCATGATGTTCTGTCGCAACCTCTTTTCAGTAGTGCTAAATCAAGAGAAATCCAACTTACTGATAATCAGTAGAGCTCCCTTTCCTTTTCCTGTTACAATCCATTCCTGAAGTACTAAGGGAACTGGAGATCAAGTCAGTAGGATCTGGTGACATAAAGTCACTAATTGTAGAAGAAATGTCCATCCTTTGGTCTGCCATTGGTTTGTCTAAAGTTATCAAAAATAAAAGATAAAAAAGACTGCATTAATGGAATCAGAAACTTACATATTTTTAGCCAAAAAACAAATTTCAAACTTAGTATACTTAATATCTGCAAAAGTTTTAATGCCATTATTTGCCTTTGTCATAAAACACACACAGGCTATTACTCTTTCTGTCAACTACTGATGTATTAAACGCTGCATACAAACCGCAACCGTTCTCAAAACACATTACTTAACGCAGTTGTTTTACAGAATAGTCGATATGAACTGGGACTAAACTGGGTTTACCATTAATTGGCCAGCCAACTGTTGCTAACCAACATAAAGGATAAGTTCTGTCTGCCTTTTGCTTAGTGGGGACACTAATTCGAGCATCTCCCTCCTTCAGTTGCAGACCATATTCTCAAAAGTTCATAAAGTTTGAGAGTTCCACTTCCGTTAAACTCCATGGAATTTACAAAATACATCCATAGTAAACCAGGTTAAATAAACACCAGCACAAGAGTCCCCACAAATGAAACCCTAGTAACCCATCTACGGTCTAAGAAGCCTAGTTAAAGGTGCAAAAGAATCTGATCAACTTTTTGTTCTAAAGGATGTACATTTTAATCCTCCAGACTTCAAATAACTGAATTGTACTGTTTACAGAGAAATAGTCAAGAGCTTATCCATTACTAAAGGGCATCAACTGTGAAACGTAAGAAGTTC